GCTGAGCCGACACCGGCTTTGAACACCCGGCCGCTAAGGAGAGAGCCCGCGGCGCTGGTTGTGGCCCCAGGGCTCCTTGGTCAGACAGCCTGGTGGTGCAAGAAGCCCTCCTGGCACTGGAGGCCAGCGAAGGGTGCCCTCGGCTGGCTGGGAGGGACCTGCTCGTCCCTCAGCCCTCATGAGACCCTGCTCACGTCAGTGACCGAGGTAACGGCAGGAGCCAGACGTGGCCCCGAGAAGTCTGCATGGACGCCTTCCCCGTCCCAAGGACAAAGATGGAACTGCGTGACAGGACAGGACAGCCACCGCCTGAGCCTGCGGCCAGTGCTGGGTCACTGACGGGGGCCGGCTGGCTGGGCTCTGTGGACAGGAGTGCGGAGCGCCAGGGCCCAAAGACACAGGGGACTCTGTGGTCCTAACCCACACCTTCCTGGCCGGCACCCCGAGGGCAGGCGACCCCTGCGGCTTTGGGGCAGCTCACACCAGGAGCAGGGGTGCCCGACCCACCTGGCGCCTGCCTGTGCCCACGTGGGCTCCGGGAGGGAGAGGGTATCCAAGGACCAGATGACCAGACACCACGGGTGTGTGGGGTTTGACTAGGTCCCCGAAAAGGCAAGGCAACGGGCCGCGGTCACTGTGGGGTGGGCTCTGCCCATGGGGGTGTCTGGCAGCCGACAGGAGGCATGGGGCTGCCATGAGCAGTTGGGGCCCTGGCGCCCGTGAGTGCCTGCGCCCACACCTCACTGTGATGGGGGATGAGCAGTCTCGCTTCCTAAGTGGTCAGAGGGCGCCCCGAGTGTGCACATGGGGGGTGCTCCCCAGCTGCTCCCCCACGTCAAAACGGGAGGAGGAGCCGAGGCCGGTGGCCGCTAACTGGCCGCTGCACCCAGGGCTGCAGAATCGAAGTCACCGATGGCAGAGAGGGAGCGGTCGGGGGTGGTGGCTGGGGTGGCTCAGTCGCAAGCCCCAGGACCGCAGTGGACATGGGCTCACACGCGACGAGGCTGGAGGAGCCCGGCTGCAGGAACACAGGCGTACCTGAAACCTTCCCCACTGGGGCGCCCAAGGGCTGGGGTGCTCTCACCTGCCCGAGGGTTGGAGCGCTCTGAACTTCCAGGAGACGCGGGACGGCTGGGGCACCTCTCCAACATGTGGCAGCTGATCCCGTAAAGCTGGGCCAGACTGGCCCCAGTCTACCCGAAGGACAGGCCAAGGGCCAAGGGAGGGTCGTGGAGCCAGGTACCGGGTCAGCCTAAGGAAGAGGCTTCCAAGAAACTGCGTGGGCGGGGCCCAGACTGAGCGCCTGCGGAGTGGGGCCTCCTGGATGGGGGAGTCTTGGTCTCCGTTAGGGTGGATGAGGGCTGGCAGAGTGCTTTAAACGTGGATTAGGATTCAGACAATGGCCTGTCCCCAAGGGTCCAGGTTTTTAAACATGGATACCCCCTAAAAGGTCATGGGTTCGGACCCCATTACATACTGAGGGTGTTAAATGAAATCCCGATTCCTTGGCGTGTCCCAGGGCGGGCCCGACTGGGTCTTGGAGTGTAACGAGAGGGTTGAGGCAGGCGGAGGCACGTGGGGACAGACAGCTGCCTCCCACCACCTCGCGAGGCCTTCGGATCCCCCAGGCTGTGGAGCAGCAGCCTCCAGCATGCACTGCCGCCGGCCCAGAGTCCCGGGAGAGGCGGGCAAGCCCACCTCCTGGTGTGTCTGCCTCAGGTTCTCACAGCACTCCCCACCAGGAGCATGGCAGCGATGGCGGGACCGTGGGCAGGTGCCAGGGCCGAGCTGCCACCTGCTTCCCGACACAGGGGACACGCTGGGCCGTGGGGGGCTGGACGGGGCGACCCTGAGCTTCCCATCCCAAGAGCCAAGACCAAGAAAGCAAGCGGCCAGCCCTCCCTGTCCGCGTGTGTCCACGTCCCCAGGCCTGGAGGACATGCTTGCCGGGTTCCCGGCGCTGTGACTGCTGCACCCCTCCTGATGCTGTCATGGCAGCAGCAGGACAGCAGGATGGTGGCTGACCACGCTGTCACCGTCACATGGCTTTCCGCGAACTCTCCTGATGGAAACCAGAAAGCACACGTGCCGGCCGAGCCTCCGCCTCTCCAGGGCGGGTAGCCACTCACGCCGTGCTTAGAACTGTCAGCACCCTGGGACCTCCGACGTGGACCGTCTCGGTCGCTAAGCACGAGTGTTCTAGTGCTATGGCCACAGCAAGTGGGGAGCCGCAGGGCGGAAGGGGGCCCAGCCCATGGCAAGAGGTGCTCCCCCTGCTGGAGACCTGGAAGACGCAGACAGACTCACCTACCAGGAGAGAGTCCAGCTCTTCTGAGCAGAGAGGAAAGGGGACGCGGAAGGCGCTTGCACTGCTGCGGTTTCAGGAACTGAACACTTAAGGTGCCTCAAGGCAGGCACAGAGGACAGTGGCCGGGCCCCGGCCCCAACCACAGCCACAGCTGCTCCCTGAAGGCCTTGGGGCACCCGG